GCAGGGATGAGTGTCCTAAGAGTTGCACCCAAGCACCTCCAGCCTAATGCAATCCATTCAATGCAATTTTTTTTAAAAAATGTAGCTTTTTAAAAATGCATAGCTTATCTTGAATCTTATTTAAAGTTAATTGCAGGATTGCTTATCGGTCCTGCAGAGACTGGGGTCTATGGCTGTAATAAAAATGAAGTGAGTAATGGGAATTAATGCCTTAAGCTTAGAGGGGGTTGATTAGACAGAATTTAGCATGTGTGGATCACTTCATGGATCACTGCCTTGTTGTGGCAAAGGGGCTTGCGTAGCTCAATGAAGCTATGAGCTATGCCGTGCAGGGCCACCCAAGATGGACAGCTCATAGCAGAGAAGTGTGACAAAAACGCCATCCACTGGAGAAGGAAATGGCAACCCACTCTTTGCCATGAAAACCCCATGGACAAGGACCTGGAAGGACTTCACAACTAATAACAAAAAGCATTTGTGGCGAAAAGATGAAAGCAATATGGTTTCTGTTGAACTGTTTATCCTTCTAGAATAGATTAGTTCGCAGTTGTCCAACCTTTTGGCTTGCCTGAACTGCACTGAGTAAAAAGGGATTGGCTTGGGCCATGTATCAAATATATACTATAGTTAATGTATATTAACGAACGTCCTTTAATTTTTTTTTTATTAACTTGAGGGGCCACAATAGTAGATGTCCAGGGCCTGCATGCAGTCTATATGTCCTGGGCCGCATAGAACAACAACTAGTTATAAATCATCGAGCATACTGCTTTCTCCAGATGCTTCGCTTGCCCTTGGAAGATTTGGGACTGGAAAATAATAGGTTTGTGCAACTGAGACAGCAATCAAAAGCATATATACCTCCAAAGAAGGCCCAGTGGAAGGAGACCTTTAAGGAGATGTACAACCCTACTTTTGCTTTTGTTATTTATTTATTCCTGAATTCATTTGGATATTATTGATCTTCCACTTTTCTGACAACAGATCTGCACCTATGGATTCTGAGTAAAATATGAGGTATCAAACAACTAAGAGCTCGACAATACAGGTTTCCAAACAGCATCCATTACATCTCAAAAGTATTTTGTGCAGGGAAGGTGCAAATGAACAAAGAGCAGCCTCTTTTTGTATGATTTTAGGGCAGTATAGAAGTTGGATAGAAGAAAATTTCATAACTGAATTCTGAAACAGGAGCAAGTTATAACAATATAATTCCAAGTTAATTGTTGAGTAATTTAAATATGTTCCCTAAAAGAACAAACTAGGGATTTAGAAATGTCTTAGAGATTTGTAGCTTTTTAATATGACAACAACTAGTTGTAAATAATAGATTATTTTGCTTTCTGGGTTTTTGAAATTCACATTTTAGCAAGACCCAGTTTAAAGCGTGCTGCACGGTCTTACCACTCTCTCCTTCCAGCTAGATTGATTCAATTCCTTCAAAGTGTTTAAAGAGCACTCATTTTCCATATTTTGACTGATTCTACTGCCCTTTCTGGAACCCATTTATCTTGTTGAAAAGAGTGGCATTAGGGTTTGACAACAGTATTCCAGAGGAAGTCTGGCCAGAAGGATTACAGTTGGAACAATTATTTGTAGTAGCTTGAGAGCTCATTCCAGCGTCTACCTTGGCATGCATTCCCTTTACCGAATCAAGATGCAGATTTCATACAGATATGGAATGTAACAGATCATCCTAAAACCTCATTTGTACTGCATGGTTCTGACTTGTAAATTTTGATGGGTAGTTTGAAAGCATCTGGACTGTTTGTGGCATTCCGTACTAAGTGCTGGCAATGGATTAAAAGACAGGAAATCCAAGCAGGTGCCAACGTCAAATGTCTATCTCTGCGCATGCATCTATGAATGTAGGCAGCTGATACTTTGGCAAAAATATTTAGCTCTGCTCTCATGTGGTTATTTATTACTGTCATATATTTTATCTATCTATCTATCTATCTATCTATCTATCTATCTATCTATCTAT